AAATTCTGTCATTTGTGACAACAGGGATGGACCTTGAGGGCATTATGCTAAGTTAAATAAGCTAGATAGAGAAAAAAAAATATGCATGGTATCACTCATGTGGAACATAAAGAAAACAAAATAAAGTCAAACTCTTAGAAACAGAGAGTAGAAAAATGGTTTTCAGGGGCTAGGGGGGTGAGGTAAATAGGGAGAGGTCAGTAAAACTGTACAAACTTTAAAAGAAAAAAGAACAAATAGCTATTAGAAAGGGAGAGGATATCTGTTATAACTGCATGGTGGTCTCAAGCTCCTTTCCAATTCCCTTGTGCAAAAGGTGGAAAGGGATTGTGCTGCTCAAAGGTTGGTCCATGCAGACAATAATGGGAATCCTCATATATTCCTGCATCAAATATTGAGCATCCACTATGAGACAGGTGATATCAGGCAATGATGAACACACAGGTAAGGCCTCACAGCCTAGAAAGGAGCCACACAGCTCTATATGTGCACACTAAGGAAACTTTTCTGAAAGTTGGCTCACAAATCATGAAGTTGCTCAAAAAGATATGATTAAAATCTCACTAATGCTTATCCTCTTGTTAACTACTTTTTTGAATGAACATCTTCCTGATTCATAATTCTCTTTTCTTTAACTATGTACGAGAGGGATTATATACTTAAATTCTCACAAATATTCTGCACATATTCACAGGAATCCAGCTCTGGGAAATAAATTTTGCAAAATGACACTTCTCAGCATAGCACAAGGGTTTACTTACGCTTTGCATAAGAATTGCCAAGAGGAAGCTAATTAATATGCTAAATGCTCTTTCTTGTTTGTAGATACTAGCCCAAGTTTGGGTTTCAGTTAACATTAGATAGACACATTATATATCTGACACATACTTGTCTTTCTCTCTTTTCTACCTTTAATACCTCTCCAAGCAAACTTCTAAATCCTCTTTCATAGTGATGACAATGTACACACAAGGGCAACTCTATGTGCACTTAACTCAGGCTGTTGGATATGTTTCTTCAACTTAATCTTAGGGAGAGGAATAGAAACAACTTCAAGCAGCATTTCTAAATGATAAAAATCACCAAGCTCAGAAATGTTGCTTAAATTACTTGCTTGTCTTGGCTAACATGATGTTTTATACTATCCAAATGTTGTACTTATTAATTTTCTGACTGTCCTCTATCAACACTGAGTTTTGAGAGTTGACGGCAAATGGTGCAGAAAATTCAACGTCTTCCTTGCATTCTGGCAGTAGCAAACATACCTTTATTAGGAGTTGGACAAAAGAGCTCTGTTTTCTCAAAGCCTTTCCCTTTAAATTATTTCTGGTAAAGGCCGGATTTGAGATCTGCCTCTGACTTGCTAAAGGCTATTTATGATTTATTTCAACCTTTAGCTGGCTCTAGGAAAAAAAAAAAAAAAAGAACAAAGTTGAAAATACAGAAAAAGGAGTGCTTAATCCTCGGTATTTCAGTGGAAATAAGAGTCGGCACCCTGACTCTTATGATGGCTGCATTGTGTGAATTTTGATATTTTTATTTTTTCCCTCAAAAATGAAATTAAAATCCTTTACACTTTTAATTAGAAAACAGTGCCATCATTTTTTTAAACGATCAAATTTCAAGCTGTGAGTCTTTTAATACAGGTTGGTCTGCTGAGACTTTTCTGAAGCACTGGGGGGAAATTTAAAACCCAGTCAAATAATTTTCTGAGGCAAAGTGGTGATAGGCCATGGTGAGATATGGGTGTCATAAAAATTTCACAGTGGTCCCTAACACACCAGAGTCACCATAGCACTGACACATTGACTATAATATCTCCAAAGAAGCATTTGCTGTCTATCATGGCTCTGAAGGGAGCTGTTACCATCTATCAATGCAATAATCTGCATGTTAAAGAGTCCCTAAATATGTATTTACAAGATAGTCAGATCTGTTTTGGTCTATTGCGTCAATAATCCACACACTAAAAGTCCCTAAATATGTATTCACGAGATAGACAGCTCACCTTTGGTTCACTGAGTCAATAGTAAGTAGGCCTTTAAAAAGGTGCCTATATAGTTGCATAGTTTGTTTTTCAGCAAGTTCAGAAATTCAGTTCTGTACTCTTTTTGTCTTTTAAGAGTAGATTTATTATGCTAGTTCCAGTGGATGCCAGAAGCTGAGTTTCACTCTGGCCTATGATATTTTGCCCTCGAAAAGTCAGAAGAAAAATCCCGCCCGAGCACAAACTATATTAAAACTACGAGGCGAGGAATGGAAGTGCAGACACACAGGCAAAGCCCTCCGGGCCAGGATGAATGCTGTGCTTTCAGACTATGTCTTACCCCTGCCTCTGTCACCGGTCAGCTTCCAGCCTCCCACCCTCCTCTGACTGCTCTGCTGGAGGCTCTGCTGGATGCTCTGCTTGCCCATCTTAAAGCTCATTTCAGCAGCAGAGGGAATCTTTCAAGGGCTGCAAAACCCGGCCCTGCTCTCCACCAGCTACTCATTCTGAGTTCACCTCCTACCGCTGCCCGTCGCCCTTGCCTCTGCCCCCAGAGCGCACCGGCCTCTGCTGTTCCTGGAGCCCACCAGCTGTGGTCCTGCTTCTGGTCCTTTGTACTTGCCCTTCTCTCTGTCTGGAAAGCTCCTCTCTCAGAATCCACACGGCTAGCTCTTTTACTCTCTTTAGGTCTCTTATGAGGGAGGCCCTTCCTGACCACCCTGTATAAGAGACCAACACCTCATCCCAACACCATGCATTTCCTTCCTCTGTTACCCACACTGCTTGTTGTCCACTAGCAGTTAATCACCATCTGATATAATATGTCTTTACTTACTTGTTTCTTGTTCATCTCTTTCTCCTAAAGTTTAAACTCCACTGGGGCAGAGGCTTCATCAATCCCAAACTTAGATAAGAACCTGGCATATTTTTTTAACTGCTCATTAAATATTTATGGTACAACTGAATGAAAGCAGATGGAAAGGAGTCCTGTCTCTACTTTTCCGATTGCCTATTGATGTGTTTTCATGTTTAGGTTGAAGAGGAATGAGTATCTCCTTCTGAGATGAAGTCCTCTGTTTGGCCATTAGACCTCTGTTTTCCATAATACTCTCTAAGTGGCACAAAACAGGTCCTTCCTGAAGGACCACTGCATCCACTGCATCCCCACAGCTACTGGGTTATAACAGAGTTCTTGGAGGAGCTGGGATCATCTGAGCCTGTCACAGAAACACTTGACCAGCCTGCTTCTAAGTGTAATACTGTGTAAAGGCAGCATTTCTAAATCTCTCTGTGCACAGTCAGCTCTGGTGATAGCAGTGGACTGACTAGATCTCACAGTCTCATCTGATGCAAACAAGAGGGATGGCATGTGGCACTGTGCCACGTTAGCATAACAGACTGAGGTGTACTGGGTAGAGCCATTCTCTCCTAAGCTTGGTCAATTATCCTTGGGGTATTCCCCAGTGCCTCCACCCCTACTTTTAGTAGAGGCTGCAGGCTACAGAAGGCCTGTCTGAGCATTTACCACTGTCATCACACTGATGCTGGCCTCTACTAGGGACTGACATTGGTCAGAAAAGAGGATGCAGTTCAGCAATAGTAATCACTATAGAATCTGTCTGTATTGTAATAGTCAAAGATATGCTAATTAATTAAAATAATTTTTACTGTGAACCTGCTTAGCCTAAGCAAGTCTTTCTCCCATGTCCTCCCCTAGCACACAGATGTATTTTAATAAAGCTTTAAGGCACAAACGAAATAAAAAGCTGAAGTGATCTAGATAAATCCATTCCCCAAACCCAAAGCAATTAATTAACTGAAAGAAAAACATCATTTAATCTTGAATTATTTGGATAAGTGACTCAACTTTGTAATTTATTTTGCATGAATGGGCGAAACTTAATGGCTATTTCAGTGTATACCAGTACTTAAGCAGATTTATAAAATAAAATTTTCAATCAAATTAATGGAGAGGAGGGGATAAGAAATTAACATGAACAACAGCAACAAAACCATCAACTCAGATACTAGGTATCATCGCACACCCTTCCAAATTCTGGCTGAAAAGAAATAATGATTTCTGTAATCCCCAGCAATGACTTTTGCAGGGGCAAGATTTCAAATAAACATCTATTTGCTTTAGGTGAGCTTCACTGAATCGGCCTTATTTGATTTCAGATCCCCCTAAGGGAAGAGATTTCAGGATTTCCTGGTTGTAAAATGGAAAGGAACATTTTGCTGAACTTGTATGACATCATCGAAAGCATTAAAAGGGCAGATAATCACAGGTTCTTTGCCTGTTTACCAGAGCTTCTTTACCTCCTCAATCTACTTTATTTCCAAATGTCAGAGTAGTCTGAAACCTTTCAAAGATTTATAGACTGCAGAAGCAGAGGAAATATTAGGATAAATTCTTTAACTTTTGTGAAAGCTTTTAAGTAATTAATAGATGGGCTTTTGGAGTTGTTTCATAACACGGTACAGATACTCTGACATGTACCGTGTGAAGGCTAAACATGGTCATCTCTCAATCTAGAAAGTCACGGAAACTGCTCTTTAGAGTACTTGAGTCATTAAAAAAAAAAATTGAATTTGTGAAGGGGAATAAAAATAATATAAGATTTAGTTTATCAGTTAAAATAAAAATACTACACAATGAATGAAAATAGTAAATACAGTCTCGGTTTTAAATATAATTTCTTTTCCAAACTCTACTTGGAAATTCTCTTATATTACAAAAAGAAGAAAAAAAAATGTAGCTGCCATAATATTATTTATATAAAGCAACAAAAATGTGAGCAAATTATTTTCAGGCTTGTATTATAAAAATGTTTTCCAATATACTTAAAATACTAGTGCCAAATAGCTGAGACAAATATTTAAAAGCTCTTAACTTAGATATATAATAGACAAAATAGTTCTCACAGTAATAAATTAATTTTTTCTTTGTTATGCAAAATGCCTCAACCATAACTTCATGAAGAAATGTGAAGTGGTGTGAAAATGATCTTACCTCATATTCAAAGTCCTCTGTTCTGTCTGCATCAGCAGGCAAGCTGGAAAGATACTCATCGTCCTCATAAAATTCATGCTCCATCGGATGAAGAGAATGGCAGCTATGGGGAATGTAGCAATATGATAGGAATGGATCAAAAGGGTTGTTCCCAAGATTAAAACTAATTTTAGAATTTCACTTTAGTTTTCACTGCTTGCCAATAAGACCTTTAGTGATCTAGCCTTTAAACGAATTACACCACAGAAAGAGCACCTGCTTTTCTTTCTCCCCCTATATGAAGTCCATCAATTTGATCTTCTGAGAGAATACTAAGATAATGGCTCACAGTCGAGCTTCATTCTGTAAAGGGGCAGATATGCGACCTCCCCCCGCCGTGGTGCTATATTGATACTCTGGTCTCCTTCCATTCCATCGAATGGACTTGCTCCATGCATCGGTGTGTGGCATTTGAGACTGAAGTCTACCCAAAGGTGGGTATTTTATAACAAAGTACTCCCAATTTCCTAATTACAGCCTCAAACCGGTTCTGAAGTCTGATTTTAAACACACAGTCGGCCCTCTGTGTCCTTGGGTTCTGCATCCGAGTGTTCAACCAACCGTGGATCAAAAAATCGAATCTTTAGTTTTATTTCCAACTTTGAGGCTATCCCAGCTACCTCGCAGGAGCCATGTGAGGGCCCAGTGGAGAGATGAATGTAAAGACAGACGTTTCCAGATGTGGTGGGCTCTGTACTGGGACAGTGGGGGGAAGAAGTGCAGTAGCACGTGCTGCTGGTGAGTGTGGGGCAGGGGCCTGCTGACTGTGAGGGGCACTTCAGGAGTAAGGAAGATGAAGGCCGTGGTACCGTGGTAGGAGTGATGCTCTGCCTCCTCGACATAAATGATGCTGTGTATGCCAACCTCCCACCACCCTCTGTCTCTCTGTTAAGCAACTTAATCCTGGCATGGACAAATAAAGTTGTTATCTGTACCCACCCTCCACCAAAAATCAAATCTGAGATTGGTTGAATCCTTGGATGCGGAACCCGTGGATGTGCAGGTAGGGTGGGCACCGTGTTTCTCAGATTGTAAATCGTACTCACGTTGCCCCCATTTCTTAAGATTTCCTTCCTCATTCTCCCTCATAACCCACATCTTTCCCTCTTTGATAAAAGGCATGTCCACAAACATTAAAGAACATTCATGGTGATAACTCACTGGAAACTCCTATAAGCCACAGGTTTTCATAATCCCTTTAGAAAATTTCTCAGGACAAAGAGAACTGATGGAGTGAAGGGAATGAAGAGGACCCAAGGCATTGTATATTACTTCTTTGTATCCTTTAACTTTTGGTAAATGTTTTTCATAATTTATAGAAGTCCTTTCAAATTGCTATATGCCATGATAGAGACACTATACATTATACAATATGAAATCTAAGCACAGTTGAACAGCAAAGGACATGAGGTCCTCTATAAGAATTTCTAAGTCAGTGAAAAGGCCTAAGTGCAATTAACCAAGTTGGTTTCAGGTGAGACCTCTAAGCCCAGCCATTTTGGACATTATGAAAAAACTGGAGTTAGGAGCATAAATTAGTCCCCTCCTCACTAGCTGAAATGCCAGAGAGATTCATCCTGGTGCCCTCACACAGTCAGTGTAAATATTCTACCAGCCTCTTCTCACTATACTCTAATATTCTCTGATTTTCACACAAATAGCAAAAGCAGTACAGTTAGTATCTTGCTTGCTGGTCTAACAGGTGAACCCTCCTAGCTTAAAGCTGGACTGGCTTTTTTTTAAACTTTTTATTTTATATTGGAGTATAGTTGATTAACAATGTTGTGTTAGTTTCAGGTGTACAGCAAAGTGATTCAATTATACATATACATGTATCTATTCTTTTTCAAATTCTTTTCCCATTTAGGTTGTTACATAATATAAGCAGAGTTCCCTGTTGAGAAGCCCATTTGGGCTGGTAAAACATCAGAGCCTGCTGTTTGGGACATCTGATGTGTTTCCCTGGTCTTTGACTTAGTAAGTAGGAAGCCCTGCTGTGAAGAACACCTTATTAATTCAGTAAACATTTACCAAGTATCTACCAGATGCCAGGCCCTATGCCAATTGCTGGAAATCGGTTGGTGTCTTTTTAATTGGGTAGAGCAGCAAAGTGGGAATTTTAATATAGTGAGATAATTAAGGGGAAAATAGAGACACTATGAGAGTACCTACTACAGTCCTAAGAAGTCTGCTAGAAGAGGTTACCTTTCAGCTATGATCTGCAGGACTTGGGAAGAGGACACAGCGTACTGGTTAAGGGAGTGGGCAGTGGAGTCAGACCTCTTGGGCTCAGGAGCCTGGCCCTATCGCTTCCTTGCTGTATGACCTTGCCGATTACTTAACATTTGTTTCCTCATCTGTGACATGGGGATGGTAATAATATAATGTACTCCCTCAGAATGTTTTTATGAGGAGTAAATGAGTTAATAATTGTAAAACACTTGGAATACTCCCTAAAACATGTTAAGTTAGCTAATAAATGTTAGCTATTATTCATTCAAGAAAGTATTTATTGGATGGCTACTCTGTGTCACACTCTACTAATGAATATTGTATACTTGTTTGCTTGTGTATTTTTCATCTCCCCTGTAGAATATAAGCTCCAGGAGGCAGTGGCTTTATTTTTTGTTCCCAGTTTTATGCCCAGTACCTAGTTCCAGTGCCTGACACAAGGGGCTATTTAATAAGTAAGGGATAGATGACTAGAATCGTAGGTCAGACAGAGCCCCTGCCCTCCTGGAACTTGAAGTTTCAAAGAGTGGTTTCCAAAGCATGGCTGCACATTAAAATTGCCTAGGGAAATTTTTGAAAAATTCTAATGCCTGGGTTTTGGCCTGAGGTGGGATTGATCTGGGCATTGCATTGATACTGCTTTTCAAAGTTCCCAGGTGATTCTAATGTACACGTGTGAACCACTGAGATGGACTTAACAGAAGCCACTAAAGGGCAGGCAGGTGTCATGACCAAGTGTACATTTTACTAAATGGAGCATGGATTGCAGTAGGCAATGAAAATGCAGGCTAAAGAGACTACTGCTCTTATAAATCAAGCTCTCAATAATGTTTGAATATTTGCTTAAAAGTTCACAGAACGAATTGTGTGGAGCAAAACAGACTTCCAAAGCTGCAAGGGTAGCATTATTTGAATAAACTATCTCTAACTGCCTTTAACTCAGGTAAAATTTGAAAAGAAATATTCTTTTAATAATTCCTTATTTTGTGGCTCTATACTTCTTCTTGGACAGCCAGGATCTTTGGTTCACATCTCAACATATCAGGTAATTGCTTCCTTTGGAGAATTGCACTTTAATAAATTTCCTAGCTTCTCCTTTAAAGAAGAGAAAAGCAAAAGAGAAAGAGAGAGAGGCAACCCACAGAAAAGGATATAGTGCCAACATGCCACTTCTGGGTCTGTCTTAACAAGGTTTTTGGCAGCTTCGGTGAGAAAAGCTATTTCCCTGACCAGTTCTCATGAGCTGTGTGAGGCTTGTGATGACTGGAAATATGAAGATGAACTAATCAGAGCCAGACTTTTTCACTCAGCATCTCAGCAAGTATGATTCCTGAGCTGAAACAACCATGCAGGTCAGCAAAAGTAAGAGCAGGACAGCTGAGAACTAATTGGATGGAGACACAGTTACAGACACTTGCCAAACAGAACTGAGACCTTGTCTCCATAATTGTCAACTTGCTACAGTGACTGTTTCTTCCCAACACCTACTTTCAATGATGAATGACAACAAATAGGGCTTTGGGAGAAATGACAGAAAAATACCTGTCTGAGAGAAGAAATGGACAGATGTCGGGCACTGGAGGGGTGGGTGGCCTAAGTTTGGCCAGGGCCATGATATGTTCAAAGGTGATGTCTGTCTGAGTGCTGGCGTTCATGAGCCGCACTTCTGGGGCCGTCCCATAGGCTGGTTTACTGAGAGGTGTTCGCCTTAGCACCTGGACCACAATGGGCTCCTTGGCATTTCGAAAAGCTTCCACTGCCTCTTCATGGGTGGCCTTTGAGAGATCCTTCCCATTGACCTGCAAAGATAAAAGGACATTGCTCATCTCAGAGGAAAGAACAGAGAGGCTGTCATGATAGATTAAAAAAAAGGTGGGCAGGGGAGGCTTAAACCAGCTCTGCTATGAATTTTGTAAAGGAATATTTAATCAGACATTGACATTTATTGAACTCTTCATCAGCAGGAGAAAGTGAAGGAGACTAGGAAAACAGTTATTTCTTATACCTTTAGCAAGCACATCATCAGAATTATTAGTAAAGATTTCAAAACTTAAAGAGCACACAAACCTCAGCAAATGTTCAAAATCTTCAGCTAGGTAGAAATGTTAAGTATATCCTTTTTAAAAAATGATCTATCAATCTCTTGGTGGTATTTTCAATATTTAATCAGTCTTACTGACTTGAAATCTAATATGGGGGGATATTGTCAAATTTCTTTCATATTCATCATTTTTATCCAAGACCAAATTATTGCTCATGTGCACATTATCCTAAATCCTTGCTATTCAAAGTGTGGTCCATAGGCTAGCAGCATAAAAGATTAGAAATGAGGAATCCCTGGCCCTATCCCAGACCTACTAAATGAGAACTGGCATTTCAACAAGATTCCAGCTGATTTATATGCACAAGAAAGTAGCACTGCTCTAAAAAACCTCTGAGTGAGCATACCATGTCCCTTGCCTCCTTGCCTGTTTTCATTTATACCAGTTTATGACTCTCCAGCATAGCCCTGGACATAACAGAGGAAGAGGTGATGTTTGTCTTTGCTCTCCATCACTGCTTCTCAGTTGGGCCAACCATTGGCATTTGGGAGATAAAAATTATTCTTTTAGTGATACTCTCCCACACCTGCTTATTTAGGGCCATTGATGTTCCCCCACATTTGTGGCACCCAAAACAGCCACACTCTTTTCTGATCACCCTCTTGAGAGGGAGTACAGAGACTGCTCTCAAATTGTCATCAATTTATTCCCCTAAAATAGGTCCTGATAACACAGCCTCTTAGTGGAAGTTGTGTTTTCATAAAGGACTACAGAATCCTGAAAGAACGTCACAATTCCCACCCGCAATGAATCAATAATATTGGCTTTTGCAAATAGGAAGACATACTTGGGAGTACAGTACTGTGCTCAAAACCCCTGAAATTATACTATTTCTAGAAAACTAAACTACCCGCCTGTTGGTGAGGCTCTGATAACTGCTATGCCCCAGTAAATCCTTAGAGATCCCTGGGTGACTTCAAAAGAAGCAAAGGGAATCACTGAGTTGCAGCCAGAGAGTGACTGGCTGACATTCAAATGAGCACATTTTCTCTCCCTGAGTAGACAAAGAATATGTGCTTGCTCAAAGCAAATGTGGGGCATTTGGGGGTAAATGATACAATGCCAGGTAGAAATCATCATGTCATGTAGAGATGGGCTTAATGACCTGGAGGAGCTAATTTGCTCAATCGACCCTGAAAGAGTTAATGTGCCTTCAGAAATTGAGCAATTAAGTTTCCTCACCAGCACCATATGACCCAGTACAGTTCTCGAATAACTAGTAAGAAACATCAGTTGGAGATTTGGGTGTGTACCTACCAATGTGCACACTCACTAATCTGTGCATTTACTCTCTCATTCTTTTCTCCACGAACTAAACTTAAACATTCCCACTGAGTTTTCTCTGGCACAACCTTGGAATGGCTTGATGACTTTGGGCATACAGGAGGATGTGAACGCGGGACACCTACTGACCAGCATTCATTCCTTGAGCTGCTGTTGGATGACAGGCACTCTGGGCTGAGGCCACCACTCCTGAGGACCTGCAGTCAGCAAATGATAAGAGAAGTTCCAGGATGGAAAAGCACAACCTAAAATCTGGCCTCTCATGATGAATAGCGTCATCCTCTGTGTCTCATATTGTGGTCAGTATTTATAAATTCCAGGGTTATGGAAGATGATCCAGTGGTAGATAATACTGCTCTGTCAGTATCTATGTGTTAGGGAAGAATTGCCCTTATGTCCACACGTTTCCTGCTTCATGGTGTCCCTTCAACTTAGTGAATATTTACTCGTACAAGATTTCATACCCTTCCTTCTCTGAAAAGAACTCCTGGTCACAATCTGTTATCAACTATTTAAAATCTACTGGAATTATGTCAATAATGTTACCTTTTCCTATAAACCTTGCATCTGGAGTAACTCTTTTAACAATGGCAGAATGAAAGAAGACAGAGCCCTATTTTATTTTTTTTTCGCTGCGCAGGCCTCTCACTGTTGTGTCCTCTCCCATTGCGGAGCACAGGCTCCAGACGCGCAGGCTCAGTGGCCATGGTTCACGGGCCCAGCCGCTCCGCGGCATGTGGGATCTTCCCGGACCGGGACACGAACCCGTGTCCCCTGCATCGGCAGGTTGATCCTCAACCACTGTGCCACCAGGGAAGCCTGACAGAGCCCTTTTTGAAGGAACTTCAAGCAATATCTGAGGGTAAAGGGAAAATAATTTCTGGCCATGGTTTCTTCCAGTCATACATTAAATCCTACTAATGCATAAATTGTGTGTCATTAAATAATGAACAGACAAATGCCATTATTCTATTTCTTCCCCAAGGTGGCTCAGTACCTTGTCTACAATCTAGTCTTGATATTCCTTTGTTTCTTATTTGTTTTAGTGATCTTCAAAGCAAGAATAATTTTTAAAAAGTGAGTTCCTTACTGATAATGATTATTTATTTTATGTACCAATAAGGTAAATAAGATTATTTTTGCAAAGTTCAGAAAAGTATAGAAATTTCTGCAGAAACATAAAAATTGCTGGAGAGTATTTTACGCTGTGAAATTATTAGTTCTTATTCGCAATGCTTAGTATATGCAGATGTTAGCTTTCATACAGCAAGATCAATAGCTATTGATTCTAAGAACTGTACATTCATTCATTTACAATCATAGCATTTATATGCAAATTTCATTTTTTTCCCTTTAAGATAATCAAACACAGTCTTAAAAAAGGACAGTCAATATAATCTGAAGTATCTTACTTCCCCATTGGGAACGCTCTTTTCTTCCAGTTATCATGCAGCTGACCTCTATTTTCATAAGCTATTTAATATCTCTCAAAGTAAAGAAGTCTATGACCTTTAAAGGCTCTGCTGTCCCATGTGATCCCTTAGAAAATGTAAGCACTGATGATACAAAACACTTTTTTTTTTCACTTCACTTGAAGTTCATCAACATACTGTTAGCCTACCAAAAGGTCACCCTTTTATAAATTATGCCTTTCACAACAGAAAAAAAGATTAACTTTAATTGGGATTTTCTGGCAGTTGCTTTGTGCAGTTATCATCAGTTTCAGCTAGGGAGAATAATGTTGGAAGAATACCTGAGGTTTTAAACCTATAGAAAAATTCTCTAGTAAACTAACAAATAAATAAATAGCAAAACTTTGTTTTTTTTCCAAATGGTTAGATCCTAAACCAGCAAGGTATTTGGTATTTCATGGTGCCATATTCTTATCATTCTATTTATTTTCCATCATATTCTCTCCATCCCTCCCTTTACTCCTCCTTCCCTCTTCCTTCCTCTCTGTCTCAATCTTGGTTTTGTATGGACAACATATGTGAAATGAAACTGGAGAAGGAGAAGCCGTCTATTAAATGTGTTCCAGCTAATACAGGTAGTTAAGAGTGTCGATCCAAACTGTTCTAGGTGCCTAGTAAACAGAAGGAAGCAGAAGTGCTGGAAGTTGATTTTCAGGAGAAAAAACTGGATGAAGAGTGTTGGGAGCAAAATCGATGGGAGGAAATGAAAGACGATTTGAAAATTAAAAAAGATATACCAATGTATTATGGGGTGTGCTTTGAAGTTGTACATGTGGAAGCGTTTCAAGAAGCCTGGTGATTTGATTTAAGCAGGGTGTAGAGAACAAGACCTTTTTCTAAAGTGGTTGTTAAATGGAATGAGTGAGAGGTTAGAGCGTCATAATAAACAAGAGAAGTATATGAGATAATTCCCTCTATTACTCTAACATCTGGCTTTTTGAGAACTGTGGCCAAAACTGATTTGGTTCTAAAGCCACCTAGCAACTAGAGTATAACTGAAAAGCCTTATGGGATTGCTGTTTGATAAGAGGCTTGTGGCCCCAGAGTGGGCTGACTGGACTCTGAAATGGTGATTAAGTTACCTGATTTGAGGTAAATGAGAAATCAGGCACATTACTGATAAAGAGGTTATCAGAATTGGTAACAGCATAAAAGAGGAAAGGAAGATGCCAATGATAGAAGTTGAGGAGAAATAGAGACGTGGTTTTCCTAATAAAAACTAGATTTGGGATTGGAAGCAAGTGGAAAGAGTAGCCTTAATCATGCCAAACTTGAAGCAGTTCTAAGATATTCAGATAAGCTAACAAATAAATGGATGATAAGTGACTAAAAGAACTAATCATGGGAAGCCATTTCCAGAGAAGGTCTTCCTCTCACCCCTGCACTTACTTTATCAACTTAGTTGATAAGTTGAAAAATATACACATTTTTACTGCTATGAAAAAAGTGTCTTGTTTCTAAAAAATTATTTTCCATTTTATTGATAGAGAGAAGTGAATAGGAGAAAACTAGTAACTTTTCAGCAATTAATGCAAAAAAAGTATGAATACATTTGTTGTGGCAGATGGGCTAATTAATCCATAAGCAACTTGTGAATGTTAAGTAAAGAATATAGCTTTTCATATGTAAACCAAATCATAGCATCATTTGATGAAGCTTCTGTTTAATGAAAGATCAATTTACCCTTTGGGATAAATTGCAAAATCTGGGCTACTTGTCAACAACCTCCCCAGTGTGACTGGTGGCCTCAGCTTGGATATGAATTCCTCTACTTGGACTAGTCCTCCAAATCCACACACATGCAAAATTTTCTTGAGTATCAGAAAGAAAACAGGCTTTTCGCTTTTCCTTTTGTAGTGCAAACAAGTGCATAAATGACCAAGTCACCCTGGTGAGGTTCCATTTCCAGAGTCAGCTGTTTGGGATGATTAGGGTTTCCAA